ATGATATGAATGATTTTCGCAACTCTCCCAGTGTGAGAAGTTTGATAATATGGAGCAAAGTTTGAAAATAGCTGAAGAAATAACGAATATACGTTAGCAGTCCCTCAAGAATTATACATTTTTATCTTTTTAAGTTTTTCAACTTTCGTATTTTGAGTAAATAATGGATTATTAATAGAAAAGTTATATATGAAGTTTGAAAATATGTGACAGCAGTCCTAGCTTATAAGAAGGAATTTCGCTGATTTTGAAATGCGTAAGCAGAATATTTTGCTGCAACTGCTTTTTCCATAGCTTTTCAATGACATCGTTATTTAAATAAATTTAAAATTGCTCTTGGGGTCATCACCTGAAGGAGCCTTACAAATAAGTAACTTATTGGGAAACCTGACTTATTTAGTAACTTATTTTGGAAAATTTTCCATTTCATCATTACAATCTAATGCAGAGAAATAGGTAATTGAAAGATAAAGGATAATTTATCAATATATTTTATGGCTGCGTCATATAGTCATAAATGACAGTTGAAAAACTGAGAATAGCTTAAGATGGATGACGGTCGGAGATAATCTTTGAAGGCCAATTAGCTTAAGTTGCTAGCCTGGTTAAGGAAGATGATTACTTGATGAAGTATGTAAATCCTTAAGTTTTATTTGTGCCATCTGTTTTAGCCTATCTGTGATTTGTTAATTTCCTTCCAATGGTTTATTAAAATGATTACAAATCGAAATGCTAGCATGAATACAAAACATAAACAAGAAAACAATTAGTAATTGAAAGAGGAAGTTGTAATAAAAATTATCAAGATTTGTTTGCGTAATCAAACAAATGATAGAGTTACTATAATTCTATAATGACCGTTTTATCTTGAAATCGAACCAAATTAATTGTCAGTGAAACGTCGGAAAATGAGAATTTTGGAATTATCAGAAAAAATACTCAAAATTATAATGCAATAAGAAAAAATTTTTATTTTTTGGTTAGTAAAATATGAGCAACTAATTATAATGAATGATGATTTCAAAGCATATGAATAAATGCGACATTCTTCTGACAAATGTTGATACTTTTGAAAATTACAGGACATTTGTTTCTTTTTGGTTTCATGAATACAAAGCATAAAAACATTTTTCCTTTTGATTAAAAATTTCTCTCGAGAATATGTTTCACTTTTACTTTTACAATTTCTATTAGCATATTAAAATTTATATTTCTTGCTTTTAGTTCAGGTTTATTCTTAATGAAAGAAATTATCTCATAATGAAAAAGATAGGAAAATAAATAAATATTTTAGAAGTATGACTTCAAAGCTGATAGTGTCGACTAGTTTGAGATGAGAATGAACACAAAACTGAGACAAACATTAATTCTCAAAGTTTTTGATTTTCTTCATCATAAATTTGTTTGAAAAACTTTTTTCTGCGAATCAAAAAAAAAATCTTAAAAGAGAACTTAAAGATTTTGCAAAAGGCATAAATCTGAGTAGCAAATTTATTATAATTGAAATGAAAAAATCCAATAAACGACAATCAGTTATTAGTAAAATTCATACTTTATTTGCAAATTAATATACTGTACTCAACTGATTTTCCTAAAAAAACTAATCAAATTTTTGCACATTCATAAATTTATAATCATAAAATCAACGCTCCAAAACTGAGAAAATGTTGGATTTCAAGTTTCATACCTTTTCAGATTTTTTTTTTTGATTCGTAGGGAGTGTTTCAAATCAATTATTCTTTGATGTTCATTTTTCAGTCCAAATTTGTCGACGTTACCAGTTTAAATTGGAATCAGTTATTAACCGAATTTATTCGTACTATAATATAATGTAGTATCTCCAAACTTTAGTATAAAGGAAAGTGAAATGAACTTCCAAGTTTCTTCCAAACAAACGAGAGATTTGGATCACACGAAATCATTGAATGACATATATTCATCAGCAAACCACCATTTCTTTTCTATCGATTTAACTGAACGTCTCATTATTCAAAATACACTGTTTTAAGCGGGGTTTTTTTTAATTTTTTATTTGTGTGCGCATTACTATCGAAGCGCTTAAAGATGCGCAATAGTCCTCCATTAACTGCTCGTATAAACGAAGCTTTTAATCATTTGATGCTTTCGAAACAAAAATAATAATATGACAGATATTTTTTAAAAAGAGAAAAAAAAATATTCAAAAGTGAAAACTGTTTAATGCTGTACTCAAATCACGTTTTTTACGATAATTTTGAACTTCAAAATAGAAAAAAGCTTTGTGACAATCGTTTTTTGTCGAACTTCTTCTATCATTTCCAATAAAAATTACTTAATTTGGATTTATAATTTTTAAATAAACATTTGGTCTAAAGCAAATGCAAAACAAAAAAAAAATACCTATTTTAACAAAACTTAATAAAATGAAAGCTATAAAAACAAACTCAAAAAAATTCTTTGCTTATTTTTTAACACCTTAAGTATTAATTTTTCCAAAATTTGTTCCCTGCAAAAATTTTTGTTTCGTTTCTCAAATTTCATTTCTCATAATATAAATTGAGTAAACAAGAAGTTTTAGAACAAATTTTGCATAAATTTCGAAAATCATAATAAAGCTTATCGGAAAAAATGCAAATTAAAAAACGTGGAGGATCAGCTCATTTCCAATACTTTGTTTATTTCATAAAAGATGAAAATTTTTATAGCTACTGACATCATTTTAATTTCTTGCAAAAAGTTTTGATGTAAAATTTATTAAAGTTTTTAAATTCCTGAATTTTAAAGTACTTTGCTATTGATGTTTGAACTATGTAATAAAAGAAGATGTGAATATTTGCAAACATTTTTTTCTAGAAATTACTGGATTGATTTACCTTACCATGCGTTATAATTTGTTCATTTTAAAATCAAGTATTCCTTAAAAGATCACTTTTTTTTGTTCGGTCAAACATTTCGAATTTTATTAGGTTATTCGTATATTCCTTAAATTTTCAAAGGACTCTTTATTATTGATTTTTGAATCATTTTACAATTTCTTATTTCGCATTATTAAGTTGTGATGGAAATCAGAAAACAATCATATCAAAATGACATTGAAGTATTTTGTTGAATCTTCCCTCACGCTTATCTTGATTTCTACAATAAAAGAACAAAAAATAATAATAATAAAGTGACCCAATTTTTTCATTATTAAGCAAAAAATTCATTCAAAAAATTTGTTGAAGAAACTATTTCCGTCGATACCTTTAACAGTCAAAAAACCATCGTATTTTGCAGCAGCTGCATTCTGTTTTAAAAATTTAATAATTTTTTGAAAAAAAATTCTGAATCAAGAAATAAATGTTACACACATATTTATTATTTATTTATTTATCTTTGCTTAATTAATTATTTCTTTTTAAGAAGTGAACTGAGTATGCAATTTCGCTTTGTACACAAACTAAATTAAGTTATAACTATAAAATTAAGTTGGTAATTATAAAATCATTTACGGAAGAAATTGAATTAACAAGTATTAAAAATATCTTCTTGAAAAAAAAATCCGTAATGAAATTTATTCATCTAATAGAATTATTGACAATAAAGAGGTGATAATGACTTCACTAAAAACACTTTGTGAAGGTAATTAAAGAATAACTTTTGAAAAGCTTTTTCGTTTTTCATCTATTTCAAAATCTCATTCGAGAAATATGTTACTCTACTCAGACTTTATTTAGAACTTTTAAATCTGCCTTTTCCAGGCAGCAGTTGATTTACTCAGTTATTTCTTAATTATTACAAGATTTGTTCTTTACTTTTTTTTTATTTTTCTTTTTGCTGACCTGGAAATTAAATGTATGAACTTATATGTTTTATTTAGCCAAGGCAGAGAATGTTCTCCAAATACATTTGATTGAATTAACTCATTTTTTAAGGCGCATTGGTAATGAATGCATGGAGTGCAAAAACTATGTGTATTAGAAGGATCAGAAATATGTTTCCAGTATGAAAGGAATCTCAATTTTATTTAAATCTTTAGAATAATATCAATAAACTGAATAACTGAGTAGCAGGATATGTTTTAATAGGATAAAATTCAAGGGAAAATTTGAAAAGAGTAGCAATCAAAGTTCAAGAACAATTCTGTTGGGACTGCTGGAAATAACTGATATTTCCTAAAGTCTTCAGAGAATAGTTCACAGTACTTTCAAATAACCGATTGATCATTCTGAAAGGTTAAAAGTTATTCTTCTTGTCCAACTAGACTTGAAGTACTATTCGTCAAATAAATCTGATAACTCAGTCATTATTTCTACTTGCAGCTTTTTTGCGGTATTACTCTGTGTAAAGAAGTCACTCTACTGTATTCAGCTGATGCGAACATCTGAAATTATCAATTATATATGTATTTCACATGTATTATTACTAGATTTTCACATTAGCAAAATGATATATTGAGATTTTTCGATTTCTGAGGAGCAATTTATTATTTCAATTTCTTTTTTGATTTGAAATTTATTATTCATAACATAAAGCATTTCCTAATTATCTTCATGCTGTAATGACCTTTTCAATGGATGAATTTGTTGGATAAATAGCTTATATGAAAAGATAACGCTTTTGCATGACTACACCTGATATTCAATGAATATGTAAGCGATTATCTATAAATTAAAAACATCCTTTGGATCCTTTAAAAAAGACCTTGCCAACATCTCAAATGCCAACATTCTTTCAGGTCTTAATTAATTACTCCATGACTACGATTTACACCAGAATCACTAACTAAATCGAATACCTAAATCTAATATTAAAGAAACTTAACAATCAACCATTCTGAATTAATAGACTAATAGTTGCATGAAATGGTGGTTAATGATAGCCGTTATATTATCAGCGAGAGAAAGCGGAAAAGATAGTTTTCAATAACAAACCAAAAAGAAAGTTTTACATTTATTGTGACTGCCATTAAATGTAATATTATGGAATATAAATGCTGTAAGGTTTTTGAAGTGTTTACATTGTTAAACGGTTGGTGAGGAATGGCAGGTGGGTCAGTTATTGTTTTATGTCATTTGCGACAACCAATTATTTGTTCATTGATAGCACCGTTTTCATTCTATAACTTGGTTTTGTTCTACTGCGGGCCTTAACAGACATTGATTTTAGAAATCACTGCTAATTCTTTCGTTAGAGAAATAAAATTAAACTAAAATCAAAAAAAAAAAAAAAAATGAATTCCAACACACAACAACTCGTGAAAGATTGGTCCTTTCATATTCACATAAATATGCACATTTCCAAAGATTTCTATTGTTAAGAAAATGACTGACTGGTGTGAAAATTGCTCATAAATATTCTTTAACTTCTAAATTTAAACAATGAAAGGAAACAGCCTTTGCAAACTATTATGTAACAAATCATTTTTGGAAATATGACAAAAATCTGTTCGTCGAGATCAAATAAAGGTCAATTAAGCGCAAAAAGAAAGACTAACCGGAGATATATATATCTAGAAAGTGGTATCAGACAAAAAAGCGCCCTTTCATCTTCCGCCACTGTCCCCAGTCCGCAAATGAATTCGCAAGCAAGTCGTTCTACGAGCGAACGGCAAAATATTTGGGAGCATAGATTGGGTATCCGCGCACCAGAACAGAACTCGGAGCAGAAGAAATACTGGGAATATCGAAATATCTACCACATTCCCGTTCCACAAGGAATCGAATTCTGGGAGGACGAGGATAAGAAACGATGGGAGATGATCAATATTGGCGGTTTGGACGAGAGTGAAGCTAATCGACAAATTAAAAAAGCGGTACTTTAATCTCAACAATCAGTAATTAAATTGTCTGATCAAAATTGAAATTTATTTTTTGACAATCCTTATTATCAAATTCTATTTTCTAGAAATTGCAATTAGCTAGGGAAAGACAACAGGAAAACAGAGGATCGCGAACTCCACAAACAACAAATATATTTTTCATTATATCACTGATCTGTTTTGGATTGCAGATAGTTCTTGCAGCAATCTGCATTGGCTTCTGCATTTATCAGGTCAAATAAATGAGTTCAGCTGTCATAAAAATTTAAATTCCTTTCCAAATAAAAAGTTTTCTATTTTGAATGTAACGATTTTAACCATTTTTTTGCTTTTTTTAATCTGCATTTAAACTACATTTCGTTTATAATGCATGGAATTGGGGAGTGCAAGGCAATTACAAATTATCAATAATAATCGAATTCAAGCTGATACTGCTTTTTCTATAATAGTCAATTACAAAGATATTTTGTGAAAATTTGGCTAATTCTGAATTTAAGGAATAAACTGACTGTTATAGATTTTCAATAATAGTCAAATTGAAGCTGGTATTGCTTTTCTTCTTTTGGCATTAATGCTACTGATTGGTGCTGCCGGTGGTATTTTTTCAGCCTTGAAGAGAAGTGAAAGTAACATTTCCATATTTTCTTCAGTTATCCTTTAGTTTAATTAACTTTTCACAATCACTATTTTTTTCAGCAGTTATTTTATTGCAGGAGAGGATCAAAATCATTCACAATCTTATCTTTTATCACTGATTTTCAAAACCTATCTCGGAGCATTTTTCCAGATCTCGCAATATGCACTACAGTTTACAACGTGACATCAGCTGTCGGAATTATTGTGGCGATAATCAATTTGTATTCGTTCAGAGTGGGACAGTCCGGTAATCTTAGTGCTTTCATTCCAATAGCAGGTGTAGTTGCACTGGTTCAGGTAAGCTTTTAGAAGCAATAAAACAATGATTTTTTGATTTCAACTATTACCATCCTTTCATTTTATACTTCACATTGCATTGCAACAAATGTTGCAGAATTTCAACAAATTATCTTAACTCTATGAAAGTAAAATAAATCATTATTTATAGACTGCTTCGTTCGGAGTGGTTCTGATCATCTATTTTAATTTATCTTCTGCTCAAAATTATTCAAGACGTACAGTGTTTTCCTAAGTTTCCTTTTAATTGGCTGTTATAAAGTTTTAATTCAATTTTAAGAAAGTGTAAATATTTCTGAGAAAAGAATCAAAAAAAAATGACAAGGAAGTTATCTTTTGATTTAATAATCTAAAAAGGATTGAACTTCATCTGATGTTTTTTATAATATCAAGAAAATGTGCTTTTATGCGTTAATAATATCAACATAGTCAAAGAGCCGAAGAGCATAAGTGTGATTTAATTAATAATGCTAATTATCGCTTTAAAAAATGTCGAGAAATAAGGAGAGAGAATTAACTGTTAACTTTTATCTTATATATCAATACAGCTGCACATGGAGATAGAAAAGAAAATAATATTAGAAGCAGAAATATTGCAAAGATTTATCTTAGCAAGAGTTGAAGTGTTGCATGACAATGCTTAGTCTCACTTCAGTTTTATGATATATTTATCCACAAGTGCTTCTTGAATTGACTGATTCTTCCATCTTATTATTATTAATTACTATATTATTATTACTACTATTGGATTGGCCAATCAAAATAATCGTCTTCTAATGGAAGTATCAAGACTTTTCTATTTATATCTCAAAATATGACATGCATTTCAAATTCACTAATGTTTTTAGATATCTCAAATGCAGAAATGCAGCAAAATCGCAGAAGATTGTATCAGAAACCAATGGAAATGAAAGCACGTGGAAAACGTGAACGGGAATTGAACATGAAAACTGAAGATGTTACCAGAAAGTACAAGCAGTACGTGCTAATCGGAATTTAAAAGCTTGAATTTTGATTAATTTTAGTGAATTCATATTCGAAATTTTTGAAGAAATCCTTATGTTATGGATAAAGATGAATTGAAACTTGAGAATTTTAAAGAATGGGAGGCACGAAATTTGAAGGGTAATGCAGGAAACATCACAATTCCACGAATTTTTGTAAAACATATTAGTAACTAATTAAATTTGTCTATCTCCCCTCTGATGAGTTCTTTTTTTTTAAAGAATAAAGACAGAAATTTCCATGGATAACTCACTTCAGGTAATGCATTTTAAACAAATTTTGTAAGTTATTTATATTATCTAAGTAAACCATAAAAACGTTTTTCAGATACTTACAAAAAAAGGGTCAAATTGCGGGAAAATCAGGTATCTTTTCGAGGTTAAAAATTTTAATTGGCTTTTCATTATTGAGGCTTAAATGTAAAAATTCCACAGATGTCAAACATTTTTTTTTTTGCGCAGCATAACATCACCAACAATTCGGCTTTTAAACAGTCTACATAAAAATACGTGTGCTATTTGAAGTTTTGATTTTTTTTACCTAATAAATTAAAGATTAATAGTCATTTAACCCTGGACGCCATTGATTTTTAAGTATAGTTGAAATTTGTTAAATGTTTTTAAATTGTAATTTATCATTCCAAATCAAACAATTGTTTTCTAGACAAAGAAGGAGTTCGTGGGGAAGGGTCATTTGAACAACAGATAGCTGTGCCTCCTGAATCGAGACAAGTTAAAGAGTAGGTCCTTTATTTTCAAATTTTGAATAATTTGCGCTATTAGGTATATCTTGTTATCTATTGACCTGTAAACTTTTTCCCTACTAAGAAAAACAGCTTTAATCTTCAATGGTAAGTATTAAATTATGTTTCAATATTCAGTATTAAGAATTGGATTCCTTGCAGTGAGCCGCTTCAAGACAATTCCGATTCCAAAAATAATTCTGCATCACCGGCCGAGGAAGTAAGTATTTTCCATTCAATCAGTCTTTCCTTGTCTTCAGAAAAACATCTTACATAATAGAAACTGGTATGTACAAAATCGTCCTGAAAGAATTTTGACCTTAAAATGTAAAAATAATTATAGGACTTAAAAAAAAAAATTGACAAAAGTTGAAAAAGACGAAACTTTTGCACCATTTTCGAGCATTAAAATGAGAAAAGCAGCTTTTCTTTAGTCATATAACATCGCTGTAATTGTTAATCTATCTCAGGAAAGTTTTCTATCATTTTGAAACTAATTAACTATTTGTTCAGGCGGAGCAGTATCGCGAAACTACAGGTGATCTATGGCATGAGTAATGTGGAGAAATCTTATTTAAATACAATGGAATAATAATTAAAAAAAAAAATTTCGCAAAATTTATATTTCTTTTGTATCTTATATTTATGGAAAATCTGATTTTCATTTAAAAATTTAATAAAATAATTTTGAAATATCTTAACGCTGATGATACAGTCTTGTTTGCTTGAAATATTTACATCAAAATCAGGAATGTCCACTTATCCCATGTAAAGTGTGCCAACTTCCTAAAAATTAATAAAAACACATTTAGTAAAACATAAAAATAAATGGTATGAAAACTAACATTACCTGTATGGGCTGATCACGATTGATGTAAGTTGAACTTAATCGCTTTTACAAATCACCTACTAATAATTAGAAAATTTCAAAATTCTAAATTAAAATACTTATTTAAATCCCAAACAATAATATATAAGAATTCATGTAACCAAAAATCAACATATTAAATATGTGAAATAAATTCAAGTATTGGATGGATCTTGTGAATTAAAATACATATTGGATTTTTAAGATATTGAAAGACCAATTTGTCAGAAATGTAGGGATTTCAAAATTAGCAAGTCAAAAAAACTACCCATTTCGACATTCAAAAGTTAAACTTGGTATGCCACTACCAAAATTTTTTGGTAATTCTTTTCTTGTTACTCTGTCTAATTAATAATTGTTCACTTATCAATAAATATTACTATCCGTCAAACTGAAAAGTGATAAACTTTTATTTCAAATAGAAAAGATGTTAAAATAAAATTTACTAAAATATTAGAGATTAATATTCTTTAGAATTTCCTAGCCTACAAGAGAAAGAAATATATTTTAATGGAGAATGAAATATTTCGAAATCTAGAGAATTCTTATCATGTTTGATGTTTGTGCAAAGAGGCATTAATTAATCTTTTGGATAACTAAATTACTGTTAAAATTCAAAAAGCAGTAAACTTGTGAAAGTTTCCCAAACTACTCATTTTAATTATTTATATAATATATGGTGACTAATACATTGTTTTTGGTCTAAACCGAAAGTAAAATTATCAGGAGCTATCAGAGTTTATCAATTTTATCATGACCACAGCACACTGTGTACTTTCACTTTCATATCTTATTTAACAGAAACGCCGATTCATGTTCGAATCAAAACTAAAAATGAATCGTAATTAAATCAATAAGTTACGAACTAAAGACTTAAAATCTGAATCTGTTATCTCCTAACTTCTATCTTCTCTCTATACGTACGTAAAGCAGAGGAAATACAATTCATGCTGCTAACTTAAACACAATTGTAATTTCAAGCGCTTTCGAACCTACAATATCAATTATAAATAAGTGCTAGATTAATCATCCAATAGGAAAAATATTTCCGAAATTGGGAGCGCCTCTAATTCCAAAATATAAATTTAAAAAATGAGTATACCCGTTAACAATTAAAGAACTATTTTATTCAAGACTGATTCATCTGGATGGAAAAAGTAATGGAATATCTGTTACAACTAAGTGGTGCTAACCAGGATTTAATTCAGTTTTCATTCACATTTAGCTCTCTTCTTCAGTATGTTCACTTCGCTGAATTGCAACAAATCAGACTTCATTTTTGTTGAATAACACTTACTGCAAGACCTTTCATACTAAGATTCGCTCGCAATCTGCATGAAATATTTGTTATATTGACCTAGAAAATATTTAACTAATGATGTTTCATCACAATATTAATGTTCATCTTCTGTTTTTCTCTCTCTCCCTCTTATTTTGATCACTGCTTTTAAAAAATGTTGAGAAGCACTTGATTTATTTTTCAACCAAAAGTATTCCATTTTAACAATTGCTTGAAATAACAGTAAAATACGTAATCGAACGTCAGAATTAAATCTTCGTTTAAAAAGAAAGGCAATTCAAAATTCTGATTTTTGAGATTAACTCTTTAGTTTCAAATAAAGAGCTCACCCTACTAAATTTGCAGAAATATTAATATTGGTTCATTCAAAAAAGTGGTTTAGGATTGCTCTGTTTCACATAAAAATCTAATTACAAAGAATTTTCGTAATCCTAATGATCATAAATCTGAAATAAAGTACTTTTTATCGATGACATTCCCTGAGTTAGCTTTTGAATTTGGGGAAATGGTAATGTATACTATACATTACTGAACACGATTTTTAAAAAAATCACCGCAGGAAAAGTGAGAAATTACGTATGCTTATTGCATCATACCCATATTCCATCTTTGCAGTTAATAAACCTGTAAAGAAGCTTTAAGTTATACTGCATGAATTATTTACACAAATAAACAACAAATGCAGTATTTACAGCAATAGAAAAATATTTCTTATTAACATGAAAATATGCCGCCCTTAATTTTAATATTGAAAGATCATATTTCATTGTTTTCTTCTTAAATAAACTAGATATGTGCATAACTAGTATTATGCCACTGAGTAAGGGTATTAAATAAAGGCGGATAAGGTTATTTTGCAAAGCCCATTTATTAATCATGAACTCATTTAAATAATAGATGAAGCAATCAGAAATAAATAGTCAAGAAGAATAAAAAAAATCTGATAAGTGAAACCTTTTTGTTCTCGGCTGTGACTGAATGAATGTCTTGTGATGCATCAGTCCTGCGCTTATGATACCAGTAAACTGGTAATAATATATATTTCAATAAGGTCCATGGAAACATATGACGTGTCAACATCTAAAATTGAAAAGATCAGACAGTTTAGCCAAACAAGACTAAAGAATTTTTCATAATGGTAAAGCAACAAAATATTTTAAAACACTTTCATCAGGTAAACATCACTTCGGAAAAATAAATATGAAATTGCATAAAAAGATTTCGATCAGTTAACATACAGTAAATGTTTTCCACTTGATTCATTTGGGAAATTTTAAGCCATCTTATTCCACTCACAAATAAAAAGTTTGTTGCAATGATTACTTGCAGTTCATGGTTAAGACATCCGCTTGTCATACTTGTTAAGCCAATTGTATTGACAGCTTCTTTTACGAAATCATCGGCATTTTTCACAAACAATGATCTATAATTGTTATCATAATGTGTCATCTTTGTTGCTACAAGCGCAGGTGTTAAGCACTGAACCTTTACTGTTGGCCATTCACGATTTATTGCCTCACACAAGAACGATAGCATGACCTGAAAATTTTTACGAGATAAGTAAAAGAACTGAGGTAATAGAATAAAACCGTTAAATGATAAAAGATTATAATGAATCATTAAAATGACTACTTTTGAGGCACAGTAAGACGCGATATACGGAAATGGTCGAAAGCCTTGACAAGAGGACAGGACAACAATCTGTCCACCACCATTCTTTTCCATTGTTGGTAAAACTATTGACAAGAACTGGAATATAATTTGATTTATTAAATGTTATATTAAATCGTTTACTTCGCTAAATTACCCGTTAATCCATCGAATTAAGTACATTTGAAAAGCTGTCAAAAGTCTTAATAACAATCCGAAATTTCATAAGAATTAATTTCAATCTTACTTCAGCAGCACCTAGTCCATTCACTTTAAGCAGTCTGCGATCAGCTTCAGGGTTATCACCATATCGCTCCATTCTTTCTCGTCCAACACCAACACTATTTACTACAAATAACCTATTTTAACAAATTTCAGCAGCTGTCAGGAATTATTTCATGCATCAAAATATGCCTCAATTTTATCATTTGGAAAGAAAGAAACTTCAAAATGCTTCAAAAACTGTCATATTAGACTATCTTTATTATTGAAATTGAAAAACTGTTTAGAATTCTTAAAAATATAGCAAATGCTTACGGACAAAACCAACATCGATATCCTCAATAAAATTTCTCATCTCATTATAATCACCATCATAGAAATCAAACAGATATGTTTGGACGCGAGCGCCAAACTTGTCCTCTAGAAGGTAAAAGGTTTTTGGACATATGTGAAATAAGTGTCAAGCGTTAATAATCGGAATGGTGTAGAGTAGTCGACTGATTTCATTTTTCATTCATATGTTTTATTTGTTCTGTTAACGATAATAGGTGTTAATGAAAATTTGAAAATACATCAAAAACTTATTAAAAATTTACTGATTTATCAACATTATACTGCTATGGGCAAGAATTTCAAGATGGTGAAAGTTATTGGAAAGAAAAAAAAAACAAAAGAAGGGAATATTCTGCGATCATAAAAAAGCAACTTAGCTCATATTAGAGGGAAGAAACAGCTGCAATTTTCGTTATCATAAATTAAGAAATAACTACACCAAATAACTAAGTATAGGTAATGCGGAACAACCTTATTTAAAACGGTAAAGTACTAGGAATATTTCTGGAAATGAAAAGATGTCAAGAATTTGAAACTATTTGCTTTCCAAAAAAAATTTCAAATAGAATTCATCAATTCTGTATTAAACTCCTACCCAAATAAGTTTTCATGCCTTGAAGTTTTATTTCATTTCGACCAATGAGAAGAAATTTGCGTAATCCATTTTTTGCCAGTTCGATTGTGTATGCTTTTCCAATACCGTCTGTTCCACCAGTGACAACTGTAAACTTAAAATTTTAATCGAACATGTCTTAATGGATACACATACAATGCAATAGCTGAAAACATTACAGATTAAATATGTAGCTGGTCACTTGTTTTATTTTATAAAAATTGCATGAACTTGGAAAATAGATAAAAAGATTGGAGATAAGATGCTCAATCATAATTGCACAACGAAAATAGATAAAAAGATTGAAGATGTTCAATCATAATTGCACAACTCGAAATAAATTAAAATTTAGATTTTTAAAAATGGTTATAATGATAGTTAACCTGTCCACCGTCCTTTGTATGGATCAAAGTTAGGTTTATAAAATAACGGAGCAATAACATATATTGCAACAGTTGACCAAAGTGCCACAGCTGTCCTGACAATACGATAAACGATGTACGTCTTCAGAACCCAATACAATGTTGAGTGGAGTAGATCAAACATCTGTAATAATAAAAATAAGTTTGATC